AAACCTGATGAATTCTTGGTCCCTAAACTATTACTATTTTGAATGTCTCTATCACTTACACAGTTTTAATTTGAAGACCTATTTGAAGTCAGCATTTTATTCAATGAATTCCTGAAAAACTACAGATCACTATCTGCAGAATGGATCATCATTAGACAGGACTTTTACAACTAAGTTGGATCCTAAGCACTATAATTTTTGAATGTGTTGCTACACTTAGTTTACTCCCCAAAGGATTCAACTTCGGCATTCTTGCAGCAGTATTATCAGTGCTAAGTAACATCCTAGAAGCCCACTGAGGGTGTCACATACTTCCATATACACATTACAATCAATAGAAAATTATTCATTTTAAGGACTAATAACCCTGTAATATAAAATGTAAAAACACAAAATCAAACTATGTAAGTGGCTGTACGACATATTACAGATAACTCTAAAAGTAGAAGAGACCTTAGGGAAAATTTAGATCAAGTATGAGACCCAAACTGTTCTATCAGGTTCTTCCTCTCAGGAACTTAGGATCAAGGCTCAATAATCTCTCCTTGTGCTTGGAACCAAGGGACACATAAGTACTCAGGAGCTGCTGAGCAGTCACATTCAACCATGGAAACCAAAAAAGAAAAAGAAAAAAAGTGAGCAAAGAGAGAACATCGAAGCAAAGAAAGCGAAGACTAGAGACAGGGAATGTTCCAGGTTTCCACATCCCTGGTCCCAGTCCCTCAGAAGTTCTGTCTGCATTTGTCTTCCAATGATCTTCCAACAAATTGTTTTCTTTCTTTCTTTTTGCTAAAACTTGTTCAAGTTCATTTCTGTTACTTGTAACAGAAGTTTAAATGAGGCAATAACCAAAATGTTCCATGAAGTCAATTTATAATTTATTACTGGGCTACCTTTTCTATACTTTCTCTTCTCTTTATTTGTATTTCCTTAAAAGCCAAAAATATGACTTCAGTATGCCATAGAGGTGAACATATGAACAGGGATCAGGGATCAGAGATCGTGCTGAACATTTTAAAAGGAAAATCCATAATGCCCAGGAAGGAGAAAATATAGAACATTGAAGGCAAAGCCTTAAGATATTTGTACGACAATAAGAAATGCTACCTAACGATTGGCAAATTAAATAGCTGATTACCCTCCTATCTAAAGCCAATTTGTCTGAGTAAATCAAATAGGTCGATCCCATGCAGTCTTCTCTGAGGCAGGATCAGAACGTGATAACCCCATAGAGGGCATTTCATCTGGAATACTTCCAGATAAGTAGCCACAGTCTACCCAACGACAGGAAGGTTTGGGTGCTCTCTGATGGTATCCCTAACTGGAACCCAAATAACAAAGCTGAGTATCAAACTGTCTTAGGGCCTGGCCTTATGTATCCCCAAAGAGCAGCTGGGCATTTAACCTATGACATAACCAGATCTTTCTGCTATTAGAGGAGGGGAAGAAAGTAACAGAAGCTTAATATTATAGAACTCTGCCTAGGTAGGTATGCATCTGTGTGCATGTGCCAGGTATCAGGACAATCCTGAGGCAGATCTGAGCTCCTCAAAGCTAGATCCACACCCATCAGATCTGACTACAGGCAGACCAGTTTAACATGTGTGGCAAGTCAGAAGTTGACAATCAGAAGACTGAACTAAATGTAGTGGGTGCCTCTGCAGGGTTATATAAACAAAAACAATATTATAGGATCCTGGAGTTAGAAGGGACAAGGAAACTATATCCAACTTCATAATTTGACAGAGAAGGAAGCTAAACGTTGGAACCAAATTCGTCAACCAAATCCCTGACTATAATAAGTTATCCAGGTAAAGATAAAATCAAAGGGATTGTGACCAGATTATGATAGAGAACCAAAAAGCATTGCTTCCTATAGTTGCTCTTTGATGGTTTAAAATATATTTTAAATTAATAAATGATAAATATATTATAAAAATTGATGAATCCTACTGTTGGGATATTCTCTGGATATTCTTATTGATCAAAGCAGCAAAGATTTCTAATTTAATTGGTTGTTATTTTAGTTAAAATATTGAAATAAGCACCTGTAAAAGCAAAAAACAGTGTGTTGATTCAAAATCTCTATTTGAGGTTGTATGATGCAACCATGGCAGCCAGGCAGTTTAGACACTGTGACAAAATTCTAAATAACAAAGAGCAACTTATTTTAATATAAAAAAATTCCAGACATTCACATAGGGCCCTAATAAAAGTCACCAGAAATTAGATTGATATACCAACTGGGGTCAAAATGAAAAGAATATATGTTTAAATGGTCCAAATACAAACTCAGTGTTCAAAATTACTGGCAATGGGCCACAGAACAGTGGATTTCAGTCTTCAACGACTTTTTGTTTTTTAACCACAAGTATTAGGTAAGTCAACACATTACTCAAGCAAAAAAAAAAAAGCATGCATACATATTCCTTGGCAGTACAATCCACTCTTTATCATCCAGCACAGTATTTTTAGATGCCCACTGATAAAGTGTGAAATTAGAACCTGTTGTATCTCCCAAGAAGTGCAATTAAAGTTACTCCTAAAATATGAATCTATAAAAAGGAGATCTTTTTTGAAAAACAATATTATTCAGAAACAAACATGAAACTATCATTGCTTAAATTAGTATTTATAAACTGCACATTTACTAAGGTTAAAAATTGTAAATACCCGCCATTAATTCGAATGGAGAATTTTGTAAGTTATATAAACCTTGAAGATTTTTTTATAGACAAAAGTATCTTTTAAAATCTTTTTTGTCTCCAATGCCGCAAACGAAAATATGAAGAGATAAACCAAAGGGTGCTGGATATAATCTATGCTTAACAGAGTCAGCTTTCAACTAATTTATAAGTTATAGTCAGCCATATCTTTTTATGACAGTTTAGTCTATCGGTGGCAAAAACAAAAGCAAACTAAAATCTTCTAAGTAATCTCAGCTCTGAGTAATTAGAGTTTCTGTCCTTCCACGCCAGATAAAATTAAGAACCAACAAGGTTTGATGACTAGTTACTCATCACAAATGCTAAAAGTTCATGCAATTTCACAATTGCCTTAAACCCTACATTTGTACTTTCAAATAACTGCTTTTTATAATAGTCTTATATAAAAAATTTCTCCCTAATATTTTCCACATGATTCACAGGAAATTGTCTTTTACAATCTTACTGTTATTTAATTACCACGCTCAATTGATAGCCCTAAACCAAATAAGGCAGGAATGGCACTTTTCATTCATATAGTTTGACTTGAAATGGTCCAGTGCAAAACTTTAAAAAATAAACTTGGCTGCCTTTTTCCGCTTAAAAACAAAACGAAACTGGTACCTGGCAAATTCGGGGTTCTGTTCGATTTTGGCCTGTGAGATGCCAGCCCGGCCCGCGGGAGCCTGGCCCGGCGCCGCGGGCGACATGGAGGGCAGACAGGCGGCGGCTGCGCCTCTGGCTGCGCCCTCCTCACGCCCCGGCAGCCCACTCCCCTCGCAGACGCGCGGCGGGAGGCGCG